TATTCAGACAAGTCTAAAAAAACACCCCAACGACAGCACAGTCCATCCATATACCTCATCACTTAACGGCACGACCAACTTCAGCATGACTCGGAACGTGCTGAGCACACGGTGTGTTTCTGGGCAGAGTGTTCTGTATTATGTCCTCACTTCTTACACAAAGAGTTGACCAATATATTTCACTTTTTTCTCCTTTCCTTGGGTTCGACACCCCACTAGACACAAGAGACACTTCAAAGGGCGTCAACGGCAACGCACTTTGTCCCCCCAAAGCGCAGCAGTCTAAGAGAAAAACCTTCCAAACTCGCATCCTTCTTTTGCAATAATAATACCGTCAAAATTGTCCAAATGCCCCCACATTGTCGAGGAGAAAAATGGTTGTCTTAGACAGGTGGACGTCGTGGACAGAATAATAAATTTTTTTAAAACACAAGGGAGGGGGGGGGGGGCTTGTGGAAGTGATCGTGTTTACAGGTGACTATTTTGAACAGGTGGCTGTCAGAACAGGTTCGAAAGTAAATCTATCTCAAAACATTACAAAAACAAACACACACACACACACACACACACACACACACACACACACACACACACACACACACACACACACACACAGGGGCTCTCGTGGCCTAAAGGTTAAGGTGTTGGCCTCTCATTCAAAGGTCCCGGGTTCGATTCCGGGTAGCGACCCACAAAATTTTCTTCTCTAAAATTGTCTCCTTTTACATCCTTTCCTGATCTCTAACAATGTTCTGTTGTCTGCTTTCATTTCCACTTTCTGCCCCCACCCTCTCACCTCCTTTGCCCCCACCTCTGGGCTCCTGACTCTTTCTGCAGCCTTTCTACTGCTACTCCTTGGCTCCTCCTAACTGCTGTCTTTCTGCCACACGCTGATCTTCTGGTAGGAAAGATCGACACCTAGCCTTCTCGGACAAGGGCGAAAAATCTCGGAGGGCCCGTGTGCAAGTTGCGCACGTTAAAGATCCCTTGGTGGTCTAAAATCGATAAGAGTAGGCTTCGGCCGCCACCTGGGCAAAATTCAAAATTTCCTACGAACGAAAAAGTATTATGTGTGTCCCGCGCGCTCATATGACCTTATGCAGTTGCGAGCGCCGTAAAACCCTATACTAAACAAACAAACAAACACACACACACACACACACACACACACACACACCAAAATAATAGAGTACATAATTACACACAAAAAACAAGCACAAACAAACCATCACCGGGCTACACAAGTACTGCAAGCTTGAATCCCTATACACCAGAAGACTGTCCCCATCAATAATGTACGAGTTAAAATAGTATCAACACATCTGAAGTCACAAATACAAAGAGGATACGAGGGGGGACATACGATACTCCTACCCAGGAATGAAGCGTAAATGTTATCTGTCCGCTCGCGCACGCACGTGGTAATATAGTACAATGTCGTTATTGGTCTTCCTGAATAACCAGAAGCCTCTTCATTCACAAAAGAGATAGGACATTTAAAGAAGAAGAAGAAAGAAATTCCCCGGAATAATATCGTTATCAAAAAATAAAAATTCCCAGACAGCGCACAACTCGACTAGAATAACTAGAATGCTACGACAACCCATGCAGCTACTGGCAATCTAAGGGTGGCGGCCATTGCGCCATCGAGACGTTTGATCAGTCCAAGTATCAAATAACAGCGCCGTGCTAGATCAGGTGCCTGGAAGCAAGAACGTAAAATACGCGTGGCGCTTGGTGGAAAGCAATAAAAAAAAAAATTTAAATGGCCAGGACAGACAAGATTTTAAGATTGATGTTTATTTGGTGGCATGAAGCAATTGAAGATAATTTGGGTATGGTTGGGGTTTAGGTGGATTCGAGATGGAGACATTTTTTTAAACTACGAAAAAAAAAAATCCCCATAAAAAAGCACACCAAGATGATAACGGTAATTGGGCACACGCACCAGAAAGACCACCACTGATAGACAGAAATTTCGGTTCCACGATTTCCATAAACTTTCATCGCACAACTTTTTCTTTTGTATTATCGTGCATCTTTGCGGAGTTGTTTGGGGGTCTTTTTGTTTTGTTTTTTATTAGCTTTTTTTCTTTTGCTGTTTTGTTTGTTTGTTTTTTATTAGTTAAATCTGAGTTAAGAGAAGCAAATCGGCACAATAACAGTTATTTGATATTGGGCAGTAGACAGAAACACTATTATTACCCCTCTTTTTTTCATTATTTGACGCTCCGAAAACATGATAGGGGAATTGGGAGGGGGGGTTCTCTTTTTACTCAATATTATGTAAAGTAGCTTAAGCCATTCTCACTCGTGCAAGCATATTAATTACAAATAGCAAAGCGCAGAATCTAGGCAGTCGCTGACATTGATCCGCGATACGAATGCATTCTTTTGATTCTTTCGGGCCTGACAATGTCGAAACAAGCTGCAGTCTTGGATTTCACGTGTCTTTTACAAAGTAGCGAGTAGTGTCTTTTACAAAGTAGCGAGTAACGTACTCCAATCTCCCTTCCACGAACGGAAAACGATTACGGGATGTGCGAGCCAGAATTAAGAAGGCCGCCGTTGAGCGAGCTTGAGCCCTGCACCGACTGCTCACAGACCATTATAATTACTTTGGAGATAAAACTTTTATTTCCCAACTGGCTGGCGCACGCCCCAGGTACACCCGACACCAGACCTCCAGTGTGGGCCTGCTGGAACCGCCGTATCGAGTTCCAAGAGCGGAGACGATCCGGTTTCATCCCCCCCGACTCGGTGGCCGGGCCCCACAGCACAGCTCCAAGCTCCGAAGAGATAATACGGACAGAGAGGGGTGCGAACACTGAGCGACCCAGGACCCCCCTCTGTCTTACCACACGCACTTGAACGAAGCGATCATATCGTCCGATGAGCTTGACACAAAAAAGGGTTCAAATTCATGACCTAATAATGTCCAATAAAACTGAAATAAGGAGAAATTGGGGTCGTAAAACGCCGTGACGACTGGGGGAGATGGGAATCGGCGGCACCAGAGGGGGGCCCCAATCAGATAAAACATAACGTGTTACAGCAAGGTTCTGGCGGGATGTTATCAGGGCGGGTGAGAGAGAAGAGGAGGAAGAGGAGGAGGAGGAGGAGGAGAAGGAGGAGTAGGAGTAGGAGGAAGAGAGGAGGAGGTGTTTGAGGGGGTGGTGGTGGTGGTGGGGATAGTGGTGGTGGAGGAGGAGGAGCAGGAGGAGGAGGAG